GGATGATTTCCTTGTCTTTTCGAAAATCGAGAAGAAAAAAGAAAAAGAAATATTCGAGAGATAATATATATGATATACATATATAATGTATATACACGCTACTGCAATTATTGCTGTACAGAATACTGTAGTACCGTAGTTCGTATCATTCTTATCCTTAAAAAGATTTATTCGACTCGCTTGTTGTCGTATCCCTCTTTTGAATCCCATCTGCTTCTCTCCTTTATTTCGCCCCTTGTTGTTGCAACGGCGATCCAATAAACTCTTAATCATCCCCCTGAATCGCGGCAAAAGGGAAAAACAACGTGCAACACACAGGTGAGCCGGGGTATTCCGATTCAGCGGAAATTAAGCGAGCATTAAGCCGAGGATGGAAGTGGCGATAAGTCAAGCAATTGCGGGCAATATTAAGCCACTCCGTGGCGGCAGGTTTAACCCTATGTTGAGCCGTACGTCGGCCAGGAGGGGGTGCAGAGCTGGGGGCGCGGAGAGGGGGTGGAGCCGGGGGTGGAGGTCGCGTGTATTTAAAACGCGAATGCGCGCCACCAGCGATTCACTGTTTGAAGTTAAATGGAGTGTAAATGGCAGATAACAAACCGGCACTGTTTCCGATTACGGCATTCATTGTTTCCTACCATTATGCGCGCTCCGCCGGTTTGTGTGTTAGCCGGGATACGGTTTACGATCTATTTATTGCCGCGCCACCCCCAACACACAAATGAACGCAGCTTACGTCGCGTTCTGTCCCCCCTCCTCTCTCGGCTCACCTGCCCTCCCGATGCGCGCGAGCCCAAGTGTTTTATTTCTTGGCTGGAAAAAGATAATGTCGCATAACCTTTTGAATACGCGGTGAAAATGATCGAGCAAAAAACAAAAATAAAAGAAGAAGAAGATAATCGGGATTCGAGGGAATTCGTTCGAGCGAGTTACGATATACAGGGGTTAAAGCTAAAGGATTAAAGATTGGATCGAATCGACGATCGATATATTTACAAATTTCTCCTACCTAATATTGACTAGAGAGGGAATATCACTTTAACATTTTCAAGAGAATGATCTCTTGGGTTAATCGTTAAAGCTTCTAGCGATTATTCTTTTTTCTTCTTCTTCGTACACGTATATTAAAATGTATGTAATCGATTAATCCCGTTAAGTAGTCGGATTAAAAAGGGGGCAAGTGCAAAATACTCGTGGATATTCGTGGTTAACGAGCTAAACGGTAAGAATAGATTATCGTATCGTTATCCTGCTTTATCGAGCTACATATGACAAGAGACTGTATGATAAAAAATTGGAAGAGCATTCGATCTTCGATCATAGATGAACGGCAAGATTAAAATGGAAACAGATCGATCAAACCTTATTTATAATATATCCTTTTCCCATTATCCTTCTTCAAACTTTACTCCCAATTTTTCTCCCATTTCCTGCAATCCAAACTCATCTAATTCTCGAACGAATAACCACTGGCCAGTATCGCGTCCTCGCTCGACGAAGATTTCCGTCGTCACTTGGTGTGAACGGTGGTGGCACGCCTCTTTACCTCGACCTGGTCAACGATCGCGTCGCTCTCTTTATCCTGGTGGGCGGTCATGTGCCTGGTCAGGTGATGCCTCTCCCTGAAGCTCTCGTCGCACACGGGACACCTGAGCTTCTCCTCCCTCCTCCTTCTTGCCGCTTCGCCGGTGTTCTCATTCTTGTGGTGGGACCTCATGTGGTACACGAGGTCGGACGTCATCCGGAACGAAAGATTGCACTTGGCGCATACGTTTTGCGCGGGCAGGGTCAACGCGGCGAACGAAGGGGGTAGAAGGCCGGCCACCCCCGCGGCCGTCGCCAGAAATCTCGGCCTGGCGAGCGCGTCGGCCATCGGTGGGAACACGGAGATCGGATTGTAGGGGAGGTTCGGGTAAACCGGGGGAAGATCAGGCCGGAAACTCGGTATCTTTGGACTCGGTACTTTGGGCGGTTGCGCGATCTGCGGTATCTTGAGGTTCTCCAACAGACCTGGTTGACCGTTCTCGGGACCGACCAGGAAAGGATACGGCATTTTAGCCGTGGGGAATGGCGCGTACTTGTAGCCGGTGGTCGAGGTCAACGGTACGCCCGGCGGGCTGACGCTGCTTTGGTAACCGGTACGATCGTCCGGCGATATGGAGGATCGCGGCGAGGTCTGGCCATCGTCGGCGAACCCGTTCCTCTGGATCGTCAGGTTCACCTTGGTGAACGCGCTGCGAGATTCCCCGTGTCTGTCTGCCGGGCAGGGTAGAACGGTGTCGTACACCTTGTTGCAAGTGAGATTCGGCTCCACGACCTCGGGGCAGGTGGTTAACATCNAACGTTGGGGTCAAGGTTCTCGGTGATATATACGGCGGGCTGAGAGAATTCTCGGTGCAGTGGATCATCCTTCTTCTGTCGGAAGCGTCATTGTCGTTGTAATTCTTGACGGTCAAGTTCTGGGGCAACC